CCGGGCTTCTTGGGCTGCTGTGGATATTCCAGAGCCTAAGCTCCCAGGGCAAGGGGCACAAGCTCTAGAGCAAGAACCCTGTGGCATGAGGAATATTAAGACCATTTTATGGATGAAGAAACTGAGGGCCCAAAAGGTGAAGCCTCCTCCTCCCCCCAGCCACACAGGTAGTTGGTGGCGGAGCCAAGATTTAAACCCAGGTCTGTGCATTCCAGGGCCTCCAATGCCCTTTCTGTCTGGGGCACGGATTGGTTATCAGTCCCAAAAAGCATTACCTGGGCATACTTGCCTGCTTGGCTCTTGGCATCCAGGGTCCAAAACAGCCTTCTGCAGGCACAGAGAGAACAGATGCCTCTCTTGAGGGATACTTATCAGTTTAGGAATCTGAGCTGGAAGAGCAGGCTAAGGTCTTTGTGGATGCAACACACATTTGTCCCTGGTCCAGGATCCCAGGGGCCAGCGCTTCACAGCTTCCTCCCTTCCTCCCACACACACACAGCACGTTTTTTTGCTATTGATTTTTTTTTTTGTTGTTGTTGTTGTTGTTGTTGTACTGGGGATGGAACCCAACAGCACTTTTCTACTGAGCTCCATCCTCAGCCCTTTTTATTTTTTGAGACAGGGTCATACCAAGTAGCTGAGGACTTCACTAAGTTGCTGAGGCTGGCCTCAAACCTGCAATTCTCAGCCTCCCAAGGTGCAAGGGATTACAGGTGCGTGCCGTAACCCCCAGCCTGGCTACACAGCTGCACATTTACCCACATCTCTAAACCTGCAGAAATAGGTGGCTGCTGTCCCATTTTACAGATAAGATAACTGAGGCCCAGGAAGGTTAAATGCCTTGCCCAGGCTCTCACTCTGGTTCATAATCCAAATCCTTGTCTGCTCTTCTGAAATCCGAAGGACTCTGAACACCGAGAGCTCAGCATGAGTAAAGGACATTGGAAGCCAGCCTTGGTGGCAATGCCTGTGGTCCTAGCTACTCAGGAGGGTGAGGCAGGACGATCCCTTGAGCCCAGGAGTTTGCTGCCAACCTGTGCAACACAGTGAGACCTCAGCTGAAAAACAGGAAGAAGGAAGGAAAGAAGGAAGGGTGGATGGATGGGGAGGGAAAGAGAAAAAATCTAGACCTAGGCAAATATAAGAACACCTATAGTCTTCTTTGGTGTCAATATACTACTTTTTCCTACAAAATTATTGTGATTATGGGGCCTGCCCGACTCCCTGGGGAATAGATCCCACAATCTTAGTTGTAGTCACCACATCATTGTTCTAGAATGCAAAGCTCCCTGGGCTGGCTGGGGGTGCAGCCCAGTGGCTGAGCGCTTGCTTAGGTGCAAAGTCCAGGGCATCCCCAGCATTGCAAAAAATAATTATAAAATTCAAAGCTGCAACAATCCTGAACTACAGCTGCAGGAGGGCTCGGTCCAGGGATTGTGGACCCGCAGCGCAGAACCTTGCAGATGAAGGAAAACACAGATTCCCCTCGAACACTGAGGACTAATGAGTTAAGGAGGTTAGGAGGCAGAGCTCTCCCTGTGCCTGTTCTCTGTCCGCCTAAAGGCAGGACATAAATCCTCCTCCACTGGACACAGCTTTCATCCTCTCAGAGCCAGGCACCAGAGAAATCTGAAAACAAACACAATCCTCCCGTTTATTTGCATTCCACCCGCTTGCGCTTTTAAGCTTTTAAGTTGATGCTTTGTCTTGTCCAGTGTGCTCGATGGATTGTTCCGGGGCTGGAGCTCAGGGGTCGCCCTGCCCAGCACACAGGGGGCCCTGGTTCTATCCCTCATGCTGCAAAAACAGACACCAAACACGCAAACAAAACCCCACAGATTGACTCTTTGTCTAAAAGGTATGAGAGTGTCTGGCTTTGTCACTGTCCTCTCTCCTGCTCCTTTGTGCAGGGCCCTGTGCTGCTTTTATTCCTGATATAGATCAGCCACTGGGAAATGGCCTCAGGTCCTGGGAAGCTCAAGGTATAGAAGAAACCTACACATTTTGGTCCTCTTGGCTCTCATGATTGGATAACATCCCTTTTAAAATAACACAGTCCTGAAAACCTTCAGACAATTCATGGAAGAGATTTAAAAAAAAAAATTTTTTTTTTAAAGCAGCCAGATAATTTTTCCAAATTGAACCTTATAGAGACCCCCCCTCAACTCCCCAAAACATTAAAGAGCAGACTGGTTTCAGTAGCATACATTTATTTTGTCAATTCTTATTTGTACAATAGAACATTAACCACAAAAAGCGATGAAGGGTTTCAGCTAAATCCACCTTTGAAATGGGGGCTTTACACAGGCCAGCTGCGGCCTGTCCAATCTACTTGGGAATTCCTGCTTGGAATCTGCTGTGCTAGTGAGGCCTTGACTCAGGTACGTAACTCAAGGTGGTTGACGGTTTCTGATCTAACGGTGTGCATTTGCAACCCCACACCCGTCAGACTCTCCAATGGGTCCAGAAAAGTCTCGGAAAGGAAGTGATTTTGATGCATCAAAACCAACACACACTCAGGTTGTGAATCACAAATACAAAAGCTAGATGGGAGACACCCAAACCCATGAGAAGCACAAACACTGTCTCAGGACTGCAAAATGATGATAAGGAATGTCACATTGTCCTAAACAACAGTTGTGCCCTGAAGGGAGCACGGTCTGCATGCAACAAACATGCTGGGACCTGTGTGGCCTTTATCCAAGTTCAGACTGTGAGGGAACAAGAAGCAGAGTGGTAGAACGGTCTGCGAGTGGATGTGCCCTGGGTGGGGATTTACAGGAGATGAAAAGATCAGTGCGGAGCTACAGACTTCTTGACCATGGATGGGCAGAAGTTCAAATATATATGTGAGGATGGCAGGAAAAGCTTCATCCCACCGTTGTGCACACATACACACACACACACACACACACACACACACACACACAAAAGACGCTGAGGTCAATTCTTGGGAAATGGGCAGCAATCAGAGTCTTCAAGGTTGGGGTTTGGTTACATCAACCAAGTAAATTCTAAAAATTCCTTAGGTTTCTTGAAACTTGCTGGGAACTAGGGGGACCTAACAGGACCTGAGGGGTCTAGCTGTTAGGGTGAGGTTGGCTCTGGTCAGGGGTTGTTGGGGACAGCTTTCCAAAAAATGAGAAAGGGGAATGGATGCTGGAGGTCCCACCCAGGACTGATGCCCACCCTCCTAACAGTGGATAAGAATCTAAGCATGAGTGTGTGTGTGTGTGTGTGTGTGTGTGTGTGTAAATCACATTTTTGAAAATAAAGTCATTCAAACCTTTGCAGATCCCTGAACCGATGGAGGTTTGCAAATTCAGTCTGGTGTTCCTGAAGGAGAGAGGACTGGACACTCACAATTGCATTTTATCTGATTCCTTTTCTCCTTCATCACCATCCAGCGTACTCAGCTCACGGGATTGGGGACTCGGTGTTTCTTAATGACTCTTCAAAGTGGACTCTTACTTAGTTTTTCTTACTTAGTTTAGTCTTGCTTTTCCTTCTTTAGAGAGTGGAGCGACCGCCCCGCCCCCGCCCGGGAGGACTTCTGGGACTTAACGTGGGGAGACCCACTCTTCACCCCAGGGCCAATGAGGGCAGAAGCGCCCAGTCTCACCACTTCTGCAAGGGAGACAACGTGAACAGCGACAGTTTTTGAGAGTCATGCACAGTTCCTCAGTGGTGGTGAGCAGGGAGCCCGCTCACCAAGATGGCCCCCTCGGGACAAGTTCGTGCCAGAGGTACATTCAAGGGTCATCCCTTTGAAAGACAGAAAACCGCTCTAGACTTTGCAATGGCGGGATTTCCAGAAGAATGCAAAGATAGGGAGTCTAGGTCCCTTGTCCCTCACCAGCGGGGCGGTGCGCAACACCTGGCCCCTGATGATGGCGGAGCAGGGGTCACCTTGACAGTCTTCCAGGCTGTACTTGGATTTTTCTCAACTCTGGCAAAAGACCTTCTGCAAACCTTGAAATCCAGAACACTATGGGTCCCTTTCATTTCTTGCAAACCCCAGCAGGCGCCTGGGGGCAGCTACGGTCTCCATGGCAACTGTCGGGGACGCACGGCTTCTCTGTGGCTGCGACTGCGACTGCGCGGCTGGTCCTGCGCTGTCCCCGCGTAGTGAGAAGTGGTTTACCGGTCTTTGTGACCCCTCCTCACTCACAAGTTACCCTCACTCACTCAAACCCACGCACACACTCAGGTGACTCTCAAATGTCACCCATAGGTTTTCAAGTGACTACCCACCGGAACTCAGCACAATCATGCGCAGATGCCGCCATAAACTGAGCGCCCTGCTCAATCCGTGTATTCAGGTGACTCAGATGTCATCCGCATCGACTCACATTGGGTATGACAGCCACGAGGGCAAGGTTTAGGTCTGAATTATTTCCCCAGTGCCTAGCACACGGCAGATGCTCAGGAAATATTTGCTGGTTAGAGGAAATAATGAATGAATGGGCCGATGAGTGAAGTATCCAGACTCAACCAGATGTGAGCACAGAGCCCACCTACAGCTACTCAGACCACCTCCCTCCCTCCCTCCATGTGTCCAAGTAATACGATCATTAAGGTCTTTACCCACTGACGAGTGAGTGTCCTGAAGGCAGGGATTATTATTATTTTTTTAATGCTCTTCTGTACCCCCAGCTCTTAAGGACAAAGCTAGGACACGGCAGGTCCATAAATATCTGCAGAGCGAATGAAGGAAGGAAGGATCCACATTCAACCAGATGTTAGCCACACCCACTCGGCTGGAACCCAAAGTTAGATGAAAATCCCTAGTTCATCCACACTAGTGGGATGTCACCTCTGACACGCATTCTTACTCAGAAGTCACCCACTCATTGGAACCACCACCGTCCCTTGGCGCAGGCTACCCCCTCACTACACCCCCCAAGGTTCCTCAGCTAGTGCCCGCCCTCCCCCGTCACCCCCACAACCACTCAGAACTTTCCCACGCTGCTCCACGTGCCCCGCCCCCCGACACCAGCTCACAGCTTCTTGTCGGAGGCGTGGCGCCGTCGACGGTTCTTCTTGTGCTTCCTCTTGCTCCTCTTGCCCTCTCCAGCCTTGCTCTCCTTCTCCAGGGAGCTCGGAGGTGGCACCGCATCCACCCTGGCAGTGGCCCCGGCCTCTGGGTGCTCCCCAGGCAGAGGCAGGCAGCACTTCACGGCGGGCAGCTCTCTGGGACCTGTCGCTGTCGGGCACAGTTCCTGTCTCAGGACTCGGGCCACATCTTCCACCGTTCGGCCCTCGCTCTGCAGGAACAGGTTCAGCTTGGTCAGGAATTCGACGTCCTGCTTCCGGGGCATGTAGACCACTCTCCACATCCCGCCCTTGCCCTTGATCTCCCTGGGGACCGCGGCATAGTTGAGCTCCTCCGCCAGTCTAATGATGGCCGCCTTGGTCCTGTCTTCCTCCAGAAAGGCTTTCCCAGCCACTTCGAATTTGCCCAGAGGCTTGAGAGGGACCCGTATGATCTCCTCAAACTCCTCGTGGTTGCAGTCCTCCGGAATCCCCAGGATCATCAGGGACTTGTAACTGTCCACCTCCAAGGCCTTGCACCCGTGCTCCAGCAGTGCGATGTCCTTGACACCAAACAGCATCTTGCCCAGCTCCTTGAGGCAGCTGTATGCCCGCTGGTGCGCGCTGGAGCTGCCTCGGGAATCCAAAAACTGATCCAGGGTGCCAAGATCGCTTTCCCAAGCCTACCTGGGAATGAGGCCTCACGGCGGAGGCTAGAGACAGACCCAGCTAGATGCTCAGGCAGGGCGTCCCGGCCCCTGCGAGCAGGGCTGCACGATGTAGCCCTCGGAGAGGGGACTCACGCGTCCCAGGCTAGCCGAGGTGGGTGTTTGCCAGCCGATTCGTGGCTCCCGGGTCCAGCGAAAGGCCGCACGAGGGAGGGTCTGAAGATGCCTCTTTATTGGTGGTGGCCTCCGAAGGTCCCCCAGGCCCTGACAGTCTCAGCAGATTTGTGACGGCTGATCTCCCTGGGGCTGCTGCCACCAGCGCGTCCTGGGTGCGGGTCTGGCAGGCAGGGTGACTCGTCCCCTACCGCTGGCCCAGAGGTTGCCCTTAGTGCCCTGGGGCGGGGCCAGGACCAGGACGCGGCCGCTGCACTTGCTCCTGCAGTGACGTCACCGCCTTCTTCCGTTCTGCGGCCAGGAGATCTCCATGGCAACTGCTAGAGCATCGCCTCTGCCATTGGCGGGCCCCGTCGCATTGAAATCAGAGTCCGAGGGGGTCACTCGGAGGTGAGGGGTCAGCTACCCAATTTCAAAAATCCCCACTCTTTGGGAAAATGGCTGATTCCGGAGGGCTGGGGTGGGGGTGGGGCACAAGGAAGAGACAAGATGAACCTGGAACATCTTTTGGGGACACAAATTTGGGAAATGTATAAAGACAGATGAGAACACCTGGAAGGACTCAGGAGGCAGCTTAAAGGACCCCCACTGGCCAGTTCAGATGACTTGAGCATCAAGTTAGAAATAAGAGTAACAGATTATAACCCCTCCGCGCAGATACAAATGAATGGGAAGTTTGTTGAGGAATGTGCGCAGTTATAAGACCTTGTCCTTGTAATACATTTTTTTAAAAAATCTGATTCATTTATTTCATGATCATGCGTTTCTCGGAAAACTTACTGATGAAATGTGAAATGTTACAAAGCAATCGGAAGATTACAAAGTACAGAAGAATAAACCCTTTTTATCCTTCCACAACTTTGCTCTTTATTTCAACGTCACACATCACAGTCTGCGCAGGCACGTGCCCTTGCACGCACTCACTGGATTCCTTTCCTGCAGAAAGATAAAGCCGCAAGGGGGGGGGGGAGAGAGAGAGAGAGAGAGAGAGAGAGAGAGAGAGAGAGAGAGAGAGAGAGAGAGAGAGAGAGAGAAAACATCAAGTATGTATCGTTGCCACTTGATGATGCTGGCTTCTAATTTAATCTCCTGCACCTATAATACTTATTCATCAAAGGAACAAGCACCTTTTACAATGGAATGTCCCTTAATTTTTCTTTTTTTTTTTTTAAGAGAGAGAGAGAATTTTTAAAATATTTTTTAGTTTTTGGTGGACACAATATCTTTATTTTATTTTATTTTTATGTGGTGCTGAGGATCGAACCCAGCGCCCCCCATGCCAGGCGATCGCACTACGGCTTGAGCCACATCCCCAGCCCTTTTGTTCTCTCTTTTCTCTTTCAGACAGGCCTTGTCTAGTGGCTTAGGGGCCTCACTAAACTGCTGAGGCTGGCTGAGAACTCCTGATCTTCATGGCTCAGCCTCCAGAGTCCCAGGGATTACAGATGTGCCCCACCTCACCCAGAGGAGTGTCCTTCTTTGTAGGACACACATGCCACACTATTCAGAGAGCCTATGGCACCAAATTGGCAAGGTACTCTCAGAAAAGTTCAGAGCAAAAACTTCTCTGTGCCATCTTGGTAACTTTTTTTTTTTTTTTCAGGTTTGTGGTAGTTTCAAATAAAATTTACACAGGGAAAAAGAAATGTCCCCTATCTGTCCCCCCCACTGTGTCCATTCTGCCCTCCCTAATCCATTAATAAAGGCCACCTGCCTGCTCCAAGGGCGGGGCCCTGATTGGGTGGAACTAACAACCCCACCCCTTTGCCCCTTGATTGCTTCAGAAATGGTCACTCACTGGGACCCAAAATAATCTGGACATAGCTCCCTGGTCAGAGAGATTGGTTAGAGCCTGGACTCATGACGGGAAGGACTTCTGCGACTAGTGAAGCAGGGATACTCCCCCTCCTCCATATATGACAGAGTAAGTCTGGAAGCTGCAGAAGGACATTCTGGCATCATGAGAGAAGACATTTCTTTTGGGTGCTGGGGATAGAACCCAAGGATTCCTGCACACTAAGCACCCAGCGTGCCACTGAGCTACATCCACAATCCTGGGAGAGGCTGTTCTGAGGAGGAAGGCAGAGCTAAGAGAATCACTGACAAACCCAGCCATAGTCCTAATGACACCACGTGTCTCTGGATCAAACCTTACCTGAAACCCATTCCTCTGAAACTTTATTTTTAAATACTCATTAAATTACAATGGCTGTAACGAGGAGCATACAGATTATAAATGAAAACCCACACAGGAATAGCACCCAAATCATAAATGGACACCATAAGCATCCCAAGAAGGGTGTCTTGTACTCTGTCCAAGTCACTGTATCCTTTCAAGGGTAGCCAGCCCCCTGACTTTCAAGGTCACAGATAAGTTCAGTTTGATTTTTGTATGATGGAATCACAGGCCAGGTGCCCTGTGTTTCTTGGTGAACATATATGTACACATGTGTTGCTTCTGCCAGGAGAGGCAGCACAGTTTTGGTCTAACCTCCAAAGACAATCTTCCTCTCCCAAATTTCAAAGACTTTCTCCCATCAATGCGTTTTTCTCCTTTGGGTCATCCTGGGAGCAGGCTGCACAGGGAAGGGCAGTGAGGGATCTGGGAGTGACCAGGAGGGAAGAGGCCCTTCTGGGCAGGCAGGTGGCCTCTCTGTTGGGGACCTTCCATCCAGGATCTGCATTGAGTGGCCAGTGCGGGTTTGTCAATGGGCAGGGTCTGAGGAGGAGGGAGGAGTGTGTTAGTGACCTTGCCTACCGTCCCAGGGCACTCCACTGAGAGTTGGAGAGAAAGGCTTAATTCAGAGGCCACGAATTGGAACCCTCGCCTCAGGAAACTGGGCTCCGATCTGCTTGATTTGTTCAGTTCTACTTTCCAAAAGCTTTAAGTCAGTGACCGACTTTTAAAATGAAATGTAAAAGGCTCCAGATTTTTGGCTTCTATCTGAAATGAGAGAATCTGCTAGACAAGGGAGCCCACACTCCTAGTCCCAGCCACCTGGAGGCTGAGGCCGGAGAATTGTCTGAGCCCGGGAATTTGGGATCAGCCCTGGCAATATACCAAGATCCATTCACTTAAAAAAAAATGGGGGGAAGAGAGGATTGTCATACAGACCTTCATTGTCACCTGAAGAAATCTGTTGGGACTGAGAAGCCTCTGCCTCCCTTTCAGATGGAGCTCCTGCCCGGTTTTCCACAGGCCCCGCCAGTCCTTATTGCTCCCCGTCCTTGATTTGCGTATCTGCATTCCCGTCTTAGCTTTGCAGGTACTAGAGTGAGATGCCTGACTGACGCCTTCAGTAACCTTTTTATTATGAACTCACCCTTCTGGATGCTGGAGTCACTCTTTATGAAGGAATTTCAACACTGACTGATGGTGGCGACGCCCATGTCACCAGCACATGGAGGCCACCTGAAGCCTCCGCCTTTCCTTGGTGGTGCCGAGCGTGGAACCTGGGCTCTGAGCGTGCCACCTGGGCTCTGTGCGTGCCACCTGGGCTCTGAGCGTGCCACCTGGGCTGCACCACTCAGCTGCCGCAGCCCAGGCTAGCCATTTTGTTAATGCTCCTGCCATCCCCGCTAGGTTCTTATTTCCCCAGTTTGACCCACGATCACCAAAGGTCCAATTCCCATGATGAGTTCCTCCCCGGTGAGACCCAGAGGCCTTGCTCCTGCATGGAGGCCGAGCTAGACGGGCTGGGCGGATCCGTTACTCACGTTCTCCGGCAGAGAAAAGGGAGGCTTGCCCTCTCCTCCAGGGGTTTCGGGAACCAGCTCTTCCACAGAGATTTCTTTGAAGCTTTATTCATTTATTTAGGTACAGGGGATTGAACCAGCCGTGCCCACCGACAATCCCCAGCCCTGTTTTGAACTTTATTTAGAGACAGGGTCTCCCTGAGTTGCTAAGTGTCTTACGAAGTTGCTGAGGCTGGCTTTGAACTCTCGACCCTTCTGCTTCAGCCTCTTGAACTGCTGGGATTACGGGGAGCCCCACTGAAGCCTTATTATCATTAAAAAGTCACCTTTCTGGCCATTGTGACACATGCCTGTAATCCCAGAGTCTGAGGAGGCTGAAGCAGGATGATTGCAAGTTGGAGGCCAGCCTCAGCAAGTTAGCGAGGCCCTAAGCAAATTAAGGAGACGTTGTCTCTAAATAAAAAACAAAAAAGGACTGTGGCTTAGTAATTAAGTGTCCCTGAGTTCAGTCCCCACCATCCATCTATCTATCTATCTATCTATCTATCTATCTATCTATCTATCTATCTATCTTCAGGGGTTGGGGTATGTAGTTCAGCGCAGAGAGCTTGCCCAGCGTGTGCTAGGACCTGGGTTCCGGCCCCAGTATTTTTAAAAAAAAAAAAAGTCCGCCCTCCACTCCACCCGGACAGTGTTCGTTATGTACACAGACAAATTCTCCTTCAAAAGATGTAGTGAACCTGGCAATGGAAACGGTTTGCCGTGGACTTTTGAGTGCTTGGCACACCGTGGTGGATCCCTGGGTTTACGCACATTCTGGTTCCAGAAGCAGGCGACACGACGGCTCATTTATTTGATCCACCAACGTTTCCTGAGAGGCTCCTTGTTCCAGGCCTGGGGTGCTGCGCTGGGCTCCCTGGGGCGAGTGGGGCAAGGGGGCGGCTGGGCCTTAGGAGCTCCGCTGGGCAGCCAGGAGGGCACCTCTGCCCGCTTACAGCAGGGAGAAGCCGAGTCTGCGACATGTTACCGGAGCTCAATTTTCCTGGGATGTCTTTTGCTAGAATTTAAAGAGAGAATAGTGTAAAGTGCTGTGGGAGCCCCAGCAACTGGTCCTGTCTCGAAAGTCTTCTTGGAGGAGGTGACATTTGGGAGGTTTTTTTGGTTTGTTTTCTTCTTCTTCTGAACCCAGTGCCTCAAGCACGCTGGCCAGCGCTCTATCTACCCAGCTACATCCCCAGCCCTGGGGCGAGATCTCGATGGATGGATGGACATAACCCTAACAAAATACCACTTTTTCTTTCTTGTTCTAATGAGTTACCCACGCAGTGGAATGCACTTTGACACATCATCCATGAATCACGTGTGACTTCTCATTCTTCGGGTTTTACGTGATGCAGAGTCACACCAGTGACCCTGTATGCACCTGGGGAAATGACACCTGACTCATGCTACTGCCCCCTCGCTCCCCCTCCTTCACTCCCCTCTGCCCCAGCCAAAGTGGCTGTCTTCTCTGGCTTATTTCACTTAGCGTGATATTTTCCAGATCTATCCACAAAAATACCATTTTTTTTTTGAGAGAGAGAGAGAGAATGTTTAAATATTTATTTAGTTAGTTAGTTTTCAGTGTACACAATATCTTTATTTTTATGTGGTACTGAGGATCGAACCCAGCGCCCCTGCATGCCAGGCAAGTGCGCTACCACTTGAGCCACATCCCCAGCCCCAAAATTCCATTTTTATTTTTTTTTTTGAATTTTTTTTTTTAATATTTATTTCTTAGTTCTCGGCAGACACAACATCTTTGTTGGTATGTGGTGCTGAGGATCAAACCCGGGTCGCACGCATGCCAGGCGAGCGCGCTACCGCTTGAGCCACATCCCCAGCCCAAAATTCCATTTTTAAAGTAGTTCACACTGCTCTCCTTACACAGGCACACTATGTGCCAGACAATATTTTAAGCTAGGTGTACTAAGTCATTTACTTTTTACAATTCATTAAATATTGACTCAATGATTCAATCACTTATTTCGTCAGTGAATACTCATTGAGCAGTTTCTGTATGTTTTAGCCAGAAAACTGAGGATCAGAGAAGTCAGATCATTTTATCAAGGCCACTCAGCTAGTGAGATTGTGAATACTTAAATTTAATATAAAATTTCTGCTTATATATTTTAGCCTTTTTCAAACTGGGGATCCTCCTCCCTCAGCCTCCTGGAATCTCTGGTATGCACCACCACACCCGGCAGGGAGACCCTGTCCCAAAATAAGAAATAAAAAGGGCTAGGGCCCCTTTGATCTGTGGTAGGGCACTTATCTAGCAAGTATGAGACTCTGGGCCCCATCCACAGCAACCCGCATGCGTGCACACACACACACACACACACACTCTCTCTCTCACACACACTCACACACACACAAAGTTGTTATCCTGTATTGTTTAGAAATAATAAGAAAAAGATCTAGACATGTTCACTGCAGATGAAATATTCTTTCACATACTTTCTGTTTGCAGTTGGTTGAGTCCATGGCTGTAAAACCCAGGGACAAGGAGTCCAGCTATATGAGTAGGGATCACGAGTGAGTGGTCTCGGGAAGAAGCAGAGCAGGAAATCTGGGGGCGGGGGGCAGGGAGAGGTTTTGAATTTTTTACAGTGCACCAAGTAAAGGTTCCTTGATGCAACTTCCCAGGGAGCAATTCAGCCAGAGTGGCTGCAGGGGCCAAGGTCAGAGCCTGACCCCAGGCAGCAGAGCAAACACCGACTATGTAAAGGAACAGTACTCTAAGCAAAGGAATAGCCAGTGCAAAGGCCCTGTGGCCAAAGACTGCCCGGGGTGTCTGAGGAACAGCCAAGAGACCCTGAGGGAACAGGAGAGAGCTGAGAAGGGAAGTGATGGCTAGATCTCTCTTTTTTTAAAAAAATATTTATTTTTTTAGCTGTAGTTGACATAATACCTTTATTTTATTTATTTATTTTTATGTGGTGCTGAGGATCGAACCCAGGGCCTCTCACGTGCTAGGCCAGTGCTCTGCCTGTGAGCCCCCCAGGCCCAGCCCAACGGCCAGATCTTGCAGGGCCTTGTGTCCTGTGGTGGGGAATTTGGACTTTTCTCTGGGGAGCTGGACACCCAGGGAGGGGAGGTTGGGGAGGTTTCTGAGGGACAGGGTAGGACAGGAGTTTGCCAGTCAGGCAAGAGATTGGAGTTGGAAGGGGTCAATTTCTGGGAGAGCAGTTAATTCCCTCACATAGCAAATAGATAACAGATTAAATAGATATTGATGTAGCTCTAGAATATATATATATATTTTAGCTACAGCTGTATTCTGAGCCCTGTGAACCCTGGGGACACACCAGTGAGCCCGACAGAGGTAAATACCAGTGAAGTGGAATGCTGGGAACTCCAGGAGTGACCGCAGGGGACCTGAGCCAGGCTGGGAGGCTGTCCGGTTGAGGCTGTGTCTGCAGGTCCTAGAACAGATCCTGGGCTGGAGGTGTGGCTCAGGGATGGAGCTCCCGCTTGGCGTTTCAATCCCCAGCTCTGCAAACAAAGCAAAACCCAAACAAGGTCCTGTGTATAGTAGTTGCTTGATAAACACCTTTTGGCCACAAATGCACCCAAATTCACTCCCTTGCCACTTCTACAATCCTTGCTTCATGCAGGACCCGGAACCTTATAGCATTAATTGGTTTAATCCTCACATAAAGAATTTGAGGGAGATCCTGTTATTATCACCATTTTGCAGACAAGGCCCAGCAGGAGTCACACACAGGCTAGAGGTCACACAGCTCAGAGGTGGCAGAGTTGGACCTTGAACCCAAGCAAGGCACAGAGTCTCCCTAAACTGTCCTCCTGGAAGATGGTGGGCACCGTGCCTTTACTGGGAGACAGAGGAGGATGCCTGTGTCCCTCAGGCCACTGATTTTATTATGTATTTATTTGGGTATTCATTTGTTTATTTTCTGTGCTGGGCAGCTAGGCAAGCCCTCCCCCCAAACTGCACCCCCAGTTTCATATTAGTGGGGTTTTCGTCTTTGCAATCTAACAGGCTGCAGCTTGTTTTATAATTCCAATATTTGTTTCTTTTTCTGTGAACTTTCTGTCCGTATGCTTCACACTGTGGCTTTATTTATTTATTTACTTTTAGCTGAAGGGTGAGAGTTTGGCAAATGAAGGAAACTGACCCCCTTCTGGGCCCCAGCATTGCCCGGAGGTTCCTGTCCACGGTGGGACTCTCTGAGGGCTCCTCAGCCTTGCAGGTGATTTGAAGCTTGGTGTGATGAAATGTGACCATCTTTCCCTCCTGACCTCAGAGGTTTGTGTCACATGTAGCAAGACTTTAGTTCTAAGATTACAAATGGAGTCTCCGTTTTTCCCTTCTGTGAAAGTGACATTTTTGGACCTTCAGATCTCCAATCTACCTAGATTCTATTTTGGTATTTGAATAGGGATCTAACTGTGCAGCTCTGCAGATGGCTGTTCAGCTGCCTCCTGTAAGGAAAAGTCCATATTTCCCACTGGCATGAAATTCCACTGCTATGTACAATCCCTCGTGTATTTCTGGCTCCCTACCTGCCCTCCTTCACCAGCTGCCTGTGTCTTGAGGAGCACCCCAGCTGCTTGGAAAACAGATCCCTATGATCCATTTGCATGTACGGAGGGGCTGATTTCCTCTTCCTTACTTTATTTTTTTTCTGGATCTTTTCATATTATTTTTTCTTTTAAACTTCAGAATCAACTTGTCTAGTAGCAAAAGTACTTTTCTCCCCCCAGTACTGGGGATCGAACCCAGGACTTCATGCCTACTAGGCAAGTGCTCTGCCACCAAGCTACACTCTTTATTTTTTATTTTGAGACAGGATCTTGCTCGATTGTGGAGGCTGGCCTTGGACTTGTGATCCTCCTGCCTCAGCCTTCCTAGTCGCTGGGATCACAGGCGTGAACCACTTCACAGGGCTCAAAAATATTCTTTTGGAGCTGGGACAAAATTTCCTTGCACGAGGCCCCGCCTCTCAAAGAGCCTACCACCTCAATGCTGCCACACCTCTGAGCTACAGAGAAGAGCCCAGGGGGCAAAGGTGAATGGGGACTGAACACTGAGAACTTAGGACAGAGCACGTGGCCAGTGGAGCTGTGAGGAGGAGGAAGCGCAGGAGCGCGAAGTGACTGTCCCCTGACTCCTGTGTGTGGCTGTCGCCCTGACACCCATCGCTGTAGGTTACACTGATGCTGGAGGGAGAGCCCTGGGGACCTCCGAAGCCGGCAGCTGGTACTGGGCAGGGTCGGGGCTCACCTGGTGTGATCTGCATTTTGATGACACTGCTGAGCTTTCTTCTTTGTGCTTATGGCCACTTGCGAATCATCAGAGGAATTTCTATTCAAGTCCTCTGTCTATTTTTGAAATAGATTTATTTTTTATTGTTGAGTTATATATAGTAAATATTTAACTATTACCAACAAATTGATCAACTGTCGAATAAGGTGTGTGGTTTTCTCCTACCTTCGAGTGTGTGTCTTCCTAAGGTCCTGGAAGTCAGGTTCAAATCTGAAATCCTCCATCAGGTGGGGTGGCGCATGCCTGTGATCCTGAAGTGGCACCCCTTTCTCCACAGAAAAGCCCGCTTCACCATGGCTGATTTTAGGACTGTCAGCAAAAGAGTCTCTGCAAAAGAGTTCAATGTAGATAAACTTCCTGTTTTCGTGTCGCCCTGTTTACTTGGCCACTGGCCGAGAAGATACCAGCCCTCCAGGTGCTGGACACCCCCTCACTAGTTTTCAGAAATGTATCCAGTAGAGTACTTTGAAGAAATGTGCAAACAAGGCTGGGCTTCACAGAGATGCCTACATTCCTAAGATAAGTTACAACTGGGCTCCATGGTAACAGCTGGCAGGGGAGGAAGGAGAGGGGAGAAGAGACTCTCCCCTTCTCAGGTGTTGTCCTTGAAGAGTTAACTTGCCCAGAACAGTGAGAGGAAAAGCTGCTTTTATGTGAACTTCTGGAGACCGTGAACTTCTGAGTCCCTCCCCTTACACGCTGGGTATAAAACTCTGAAACTCCCTGAACTCGGGGTTCAGGGGGTTAATTGATGACAGCAAAGGCTGTACCCCTGAACCTGGCTGCAGCCAAATAAAACTATTTCCTGCTATCTTTGGTGCCTTGCCTCGTTTGTCCCTACAACATTTTTGGCGACCCAGATGGGATGAAGGAGGTAAGGAAGGCTATTGTGCCTCTCTTGTCTCCGGGGACCAGCTTCCCTGGGGTGATGGGGGACAGCGTTCCCCTTGGCACGCCCAGGCCACTCTTGGCCTGAAGAGTGATCCACTCACCCAGCGCCCTGGGGCTGCCACCCTGGAGCACAACAGGACCCACAGGCAGCAGGAACCAGAATTAGGGTTTGGAGCACCGCCCAGCTGAACAGGTAGGACCCGGGTCCATTTGTTTTGCAGCCCACCTGACTTCCCCTTGGAGGCCTAAGTGGGTGGAAGAGAGGCCTGATCACCCTCTGTTGGGTCCCGAGTGCCCTCCAAAGTGGTTGGAGCTGAAAGGGACCCGGGGAGTCGCCCGAGT